AAGCAAGGTTTCCTCGAGACTTGTTCGAAACAACACACGTTGATGGGGAGGGACATATGAATATCAGAAAAAGGGAGGCTTACATAAATACCATCTCCAGAGTTGTAACGCACTTGACCCGTTCAAACACAGATGTCACTAGTTTACTTTCAGGGACCACTGTAAAGGCAGTGGTATCCTATGTGTCAGCTTATGTCTCGAAACTTGGGCTCAAGACTTACCAGGCATTCGCCTCGGTGTATGACGTGTTCGAACGCAATTCGGAAACGCTTAATACTGGATCCGAAGGTACTGAGACGGCAAGAACTCTAATGCGCCAGATGATTAATTCAATGTCTACTAAGATGGAGATAGGAAGCCCCATGGCTTCAATGTACCTTCTCGGAAACCCAGATCACTATCCAAGCCATACCTACGTCAATTTTGCCTGGAGATCCTATGTTACTTTTGTTAAGAACCACTGGCACAAACAGTCAGACAACGTAGATGAAGATGAGATGGATGACCTCTAACTGTACAACACCTGAACGGATTGTATGTCGCGGCCTCCATGGTAGATGATTACCACTTTAGGCCACTGGCCTATGAAAGCCTGACCCTTTACGAATGGATTCAGTCGTCGGACAAGAAGTGTCAAACAAAGAAGGAACAGGAGGACTTCTAGATCAGGTGGAATTAAACAATGAACTTACGGGAATGGTTAGCAAGAACTTGCCCCAGAAAGATCAAGACGCGGACGAACATGGTGAGGATGATGATTCTGACATGGACAATTTTGTTGTCCAAGACAGTGATTCTGACAGTGGGTCGGAACATACTGAGGCTGAAGGAGATGACAGCGACTGGGAATCAGATGACGATGATGAGACGGTCGTAAGGAAGGAAGAAGAAAAGAAAAAAAATTACCGCGTTGTGCGACATGCCTTTTTACCAGATCATCCTCTGTACTTGACCCATGCAGTTCATTGCAATTTTCGGAAGTTTGACTGTATTATACCAAATTTCCTTGGAGGAGCCGTTCCGCGATCTGACAAGGGCAACCGGGATTATTATTGCCTTACAATGATGACATTGTTCAAGGTGTGGAGATCCCCCGATGATCTTAAAGACAGTCGACCTGGGACCAAATTTTCATAGAGCATGGCTTTAACAAAAGACAGCAGGAGCTAATAAAAATTTTTAACATACGATATGAATGCAACGATGCCCGCGACGATCACTACGCTATAATGCGAAAAAAAAAATGGCAGAGAACGGTGAATCTCGAGGTCATCCACTTATGGGCACCTCCAATAACTTCCTGACGACATGGCCGACTTGGAGTTTGGAGATGAGGATATGGAGATGGGCGAAGATATATTGTTAGGTCGGAAGACCCAGAAGCTACTTGATTCTAGATCTTCTATAGAACGGACTTTGCGTGAGGCTAGATAGCTGGACAGCCACAGAACAAAGCTCGTACCCTTGGATTGCACACGTTTTATCTCTCCATACAAAGCGAGACGAACCTGGATAGAACTGGTCAAAGCAGAGAGAGAAAATCCCGTTTAGTAAGTAAGTTAGAAGATATGCCAGCGTCGGAAATTAATTCAGGACCTGGGAACAAACACACAAACAACACAGTGGAAATTGTCGATCACAAACACTTTAATCCCAAATCCAAGATCAGCAAAGAGGATAATCACACCTTGATCGCCAGTATACCCAAGAAACTCAATACAGAGCAGGAAAGGGCCTTCAGAATTGTCGCTGAACACGCCTCCAGTCCACAGCCTGCTCCCTTGAAAATGTATATGGGAGGCATGGGAGGATCCGGAAAATCACGCGTGTTCGACGCGATCAAGGAGTTCTTTGTTAGACGGAAAGAAGAATACAGGTTTGTGGTATTGGGTCCAACCGGTTCTACAGCCGCATTGGTGAACGGATCTACTTATCATTCAGTCTCCAAAATACCCAGGGAGAGTAAAAGTAAGAACCAAGACGATGTTGACAGCGTCCCCAACGACGCCGCTGCGATAGCGGCCGTAAATGAACGCCTACAAGGGGTGGAATATGTGTTGTTAGATGAGGTTTCCATGGTATCATGCAACGACCTACAAGGATTGGCTAGCCAAGCCGCAAAGGCCAGAAATATCCATGACATTGAGTTCGGGGGCTTTAGCATGGTAGTTGCCGGTGACTTCGCACAATTGCCGCCTATGTCCGGGCATTCTCTGTACAATGGCCTAGTAGCCCTAAAGACAATGTCAGCCATGAACCAGAAGATGCAAAATGCTGTGTTAGGTCGCATATTATGGCACCAGTTTAATACCTTGGTGATCCTACGCCAGAATATGCGGCAGAAGGAACAGACGCCACTGGATGCAAAAATGAGAACCGCTCTGGTGAACATGCGATATGCAGCCTGCACTCCAGAGGACATTGACTTTCTACGAAGCCGTGTAGCTAGTGATTGCCCTGATCACCCTCATCTTGATACAGCCGATTACCGCAATGTTTCCGTTATAACCGCGTTGAACGTCCATAAAGACACTATAAACGACCTGGGAGCCGAGCGTTTCGCCGCAGACAACAGGCAAGAACTGGTCGATTTCTTCAGCGTCGATAAGCTTACCACTCGAGCTGTTGATCGCTTCAAGTGGTCCGGGTGCGAACAAGCGAGGTTCAAAGCTCTTGGTCCGAAGCTTCAACAGGCTCTCTGGAATGCAATGCCATCAACGACATCGGAACATATTCCTGGTCGCCTGCGGTTGTGTGTTAACATGCCCGTAATGATCAAAGCCAACGACGCTACCAAGCTGTGTATCACGAAGGGTCAAGAGGCTATAATAGCGGGATGGGACTCTTCTGTAGGACCGGTGGGCTAAAGGATCCTGGACACCTTGTTCATCAAACTGGTTAACCCTCCAAGAGACGTTCAAATTTCAGACCTACCTCTTAACGTAGTTCCTCTGAGCCGCGCATCAAACCACATAACGGCTCTTCTCCAAGACAATTCTTTGCTATCACTTATCAGAGAACAAGTACTGGTATTGCCGAATTTTGCTATGACAGATTACGGTTCGCAAGGAAAATCTCGGCCTAAGAACGTGGCTCACCTTAATAATTGCCAAGATCATTGAGCTTACTATGTAGCATTGTCTCGCGGTACATCAGCCCATCACACTGTTATCGTCCAAGGCTTTGATAGTAAAAAGATCACAGGTGGTATGTCAGGTTATTTTAGACAAGAATTTAGAGAACTCGAGATCTTGGATGAGATTACTAGATTACGCTTCGAGAACAAACTGCCTCCGTCCGTGACTGGTATCTATAGGGGTCAATTGTTGCTGAGCTACAAAAAATGGACAGGTAAAATCATGAGCGAACCTTCCCACTTTCACGACGCCATCAAATGGAACAACAAATTGGACGGGGGTATCCAGTACACAGACTACGGATCATGGGTTCCCACCATCAAGAAGACGGCCAAAAGCGCTGAAAAACGCAAGGCAGACAATGACGGACGGCAGGATGCTAAGAAGGTCGCTAAAAAAGACATTGCAGTCAGCAACGGACCATCGTCTGACCAAAACACCAACACACCTGTAACACAACGACCATTCGCAACGATAGGCCCAACGGGGTTGATATGGGATTCAACAAATTATAGCTGCGCATACGATGCACTGTTCACCAGCATGGCCGACATCTGGAAGGATGACCCGGTGCTATGGACCCAATGTCTGATCAGAACCAGTGGTTTATTAGGCTTATGGGCTTTGTCTATGACCGAACAACACGACCCACCAGAGCGGAGTAGAGACGCTGTTCGGCGACTGTTACACTTTCAAGACCCAAATTCATTTCCCTTGGGTCCTAAAAAAATCAGGTTAGACCCCTTGTTCATGCATATGACAGACCGCAGAAGCTACAGCTCAGTGATATCCTCATGCGAACAATGTGGGTATAGACTATCTGGAACTACGGATACTTTTGGTCAGTATATGGATATAACGCCGTCGGACAGAGTTAGGGCTACCTACCCGCTAGGGATAACCATATCCCAGTGGTTCCAAGACCATTTCAACAGATATATCTCGACCCATTGTGCGCAGTGCAGGTTTGGCGGAATTGATGTGAAATTGAAGAGGACGACCTCTCTCGACGCTGTCCCTGACATCATGATCATTGGAATTGGCTTGGACATTATCCTGCCGGATTTCGCGCTCACCTTCGAACACCATAGCCAAACTACATCTCTTAGGCTGAGAGGCTTGATATACCATTCAGCCCTGGCCGGCCACTTCACCAGCATAGTGATTGACAAGGAGGGTGTAATGTGGCATCATGACGGGATAGCAACAAGATGTACGACTAGACGATTTGGGACACTGAGTGACGTAGAAAATTGTCGTCTCTTGCACAGGATCGACGACCAGCAACTCTGCGCGGCGATATACGCGCGAGAGCGAGAGTAAGATTAGATAGAATGACGTAACGCGTGAATGGTAATGGGATCAGATAACCGAAACGTGCCCAATCGGGCAAAAATCCATACAAAAAAAAAGGGACTGGACTCGTACTGCCATCTGAAAGACTGGCCTAAAAAACACGTATCTCGTCGTCGGGAAAGCCCAGTCTCGTCTCCTTTACTGACGCCGCGATTATGAAGACCATCGATCCCCACACACTCGCCCCATCAGCAAAACCTGGGTCGGCTACACAGCACTACATAGTGGCTCATAGTAGCCTATAGCTTGTATAGTGCCCATAGCGGCTGTAGCAAAGGTCTTTAGCTATGTAGCGCTGTATAGTTGGGTCGGAAGTATATAGCAGTCTGTAGTTGGCCTCTAGCGTTCTGTAGCACAAGGTCCAGGGTATCATAAGAAAAGTTAATTGCCTTCAAATGTTGAAGGTCAGTAAGTAACGAAGCGTAAGGTTAGTAATTAAGTGAAGTGAAGGGAACTAGTCAGTAAGTAAGTACGTAGTCAAGAACGCATTAAGGAGTATTTATTATTTGCCAGCAGTGAGAATTGAACCGGCGACCTTCGCGCGAATTAACAATTTAAAGTGCGGACAAAATAACCACTATACTATTATATTGGCCCGATATAAGGCATGGAACGATGTGCAATTTATTACGTCCTGGTCACTGTACTTTCTCAACTCCGCCTGACGTCGTTCTCAAGTCGTTCTCAAGTCGTTCTGCCACTTAGCAAAATGGGATCCAGAATTTGATGTAGAATTTGGCCAGTCATTGATGTAAAACAGACTATGAACTGGGGTTGAATCAGACTTTGGCAATTTAGGTACAAAATTTCCGAAGTACTTTGATTAATGGTGTGAGTGGAATGTGATTGCATCACCCAAAAGTGGAAGTTATTGCAGACGCCTGCAACCATCAAAATGCCGCATAATTCATACAATGTTCACAATCATGCCGAATTTTTCGACAGGACTTGTACAGACTGAACAATTCCGGAATGATCATCAGATCGTGCGAGTTCGGAATGCTTGGCACCCTTGCGATGATATGCATGTCCTTGCAGTGTGGTGCCTAGATTCCATTTGTACACAGGCATTGCTTGAAATCGCAGATTTATGGACCCACGCAAGCTCGGCGTTCTCCTGCATCCCGCTCAATAATGCTCAAAATAAAACAGAATATTCGGCAAAAAAATAAATGAATTGGAGCAAGCAGTGTAGAATAGGACAGGTAATGCTACGAGGATGGGGCCAGGATGATAGCCGAAGGAGCTGGATCCACGGGGGTAGAAGCGGCGGCTGTGGCGGCGGCGGTGGCAGCGGTAGCGGCAGCAGCAGCCTCGGCCTCCAACCGGATGCGTTTAGCAGCTCTCTGTGCCTTGAGGCGCACCATGTCGGACTCCTCGTTGTCACAGCCAGGTGCACCGACGTCAGCGGGGTCCACCAGGCCCGCCTTGTCCCCAAATACCTCCCTGCAAACAAAGAACATCAGATTCGGAACAAATTGAAGCCCGGAACGTACTGATTGAAGCGTTCCAAGACGTGCACATTGTTGCCGCCAGCAAACAGGTCCATGATGTTCCAATAGAACTTCTTGTAGTCAAAGTATTGGTCGATTTGCTTCCAGGCGTCGATTCCCGAGAGCGAGAAGTACAGCTCGTATAATGAGGTTAGTAATGCGAAGATCGGGAGGGACAGAAGCTTACTTGATATGCCTCGTACGCGACAAGGCGACCAGTCATTGCATGCGCACCCATCTTCGCCGCATTCCCTCGGCTTCCTCGATGAGACCCGGCAGGCTTCAGCGCCGATGCGGGACCCTGCAGGTTGCATTTGGCCATCTTATAAGGAGCCAATCAGCAAAAGAACGAAGCTAATGGAAGGACGTACTTGTATCATCAGATAACCTTCAAGAATCCCTTCCTCGACGTCCAGCGGGTTGTACACGGCGTCCGGCTTGTACAGGAACCGAGGAAAGTCGTCGGCGGTGATCCGAATCGACCCGTTTTCGATAGCATCGTACGTCCTGCGGTTTGTTAGTGCATGGTCGATGAGACTACGTTCACGTACTCCTGGGTGGCGGGGTACTTCAGGGTAGGAGCAGTCGCGCGGTTGAGGGGTGTACCCAGCCTCGATCGATCTTGGTCGCTGGATTGAGCACAGGCTCGACCGCGACTGTAGTGTCCTCATGCAGGTACTGGATGACGTGCTTCTTAAAAGTGTTTGCGTCTTCACCGCGCGACCCGACCATGCCCCCGTTAATCTGTAGCACATCAATCAACGTATCCGTTACAAATCATAACACACTGACCACTGTACAGACACGGCGCCGAAGCTTGCGTTGCTTGTGAAGGAGGATCATCTCGGTGCGGAATGCTGGCCCGATGAGGCGCCAAAGGATCTCCCAAGACGCGCTCATGCGGTCGTGCTGCTCGCGTGCACTGAATACATGATCAACATGGGCCCTGTCGAGTGACAATCACATACGCTTCATTCATAACCGGCAGGTCGATCTCCTCCGTGGTCTCGACGAAAATGCCGTGCTGGATGATCTCCTCGAGGGGGGTGAACGGGTCGCCCAACCGGAGGAAGGCGCGGCCGTAGTCACGATAACCAGAGGCGTCGGCCACAGCAGAATCGTCGCCATCACCAGTCTTCTTCCTATTACGTGTCTGAATCATGGCGAATAGGGCAGCAAGATAAAGGAGATCTCACCGCTTTTTGCTTGAGCCCTCAACAGCTTGCGTGGCCAGCCTGGCGGTAACAGCCTGGATGGCTGCCTCAGCAGCGTCCGGCACTGGAGTGGGGGAAGCAGCGCCCGTTGGGCCTGGCGGATCTGAGGAAGGAGCAGGAGCCATAGGGGAAGGGAAAGCGGGGTCAGGGAAGAGGGGGATGGGAAGAGATTGGAAGGAGATTGGTATGAGCTGTTTACCTATAAGGCGCGCATGAAACGCGTCGTCTCGCACCAACCAACCTCCTCATCACATGTGCCCGTTACCGATACAAGTCTCTTATCACGAGCCGATCCGCTATCGCATTGATCACAGATGATCAGACTCGGCGGCCAGCACGATTTGCAGCATTCCTCCAGACGATGAGAAGAGGATGAAGGGAGAGGGAGAAATGGTGCCGTAGCGGAGGTTTGTCAGCTCGCGAATTCCGAGTGATGGACATCAGATGATTAGTATCCTCTGCCTGCCGTCTCCCCTCGACCTCGACCTCGACGTCGACCACAGTTCACTGCAGTGGTATGAGCCCGGATGGCAAGTGTCGTGGAATAAAAGTGCCGCAGCACCTTTGATAACGCGAGTTGGCGCCAAGCCGATTGCCGATCAGATTTCAGATCCGGATGGTTTCACGCGACGGCGGAAATCCCTGATTCTCTACCACCTCTTGCACTGTCCTGCATCTCACTCTCTCCCTTCCTGGTATGTAGGCTTTCTCAATTTTTTTACAGGCCACTGAAACCATGCCAGATTTTGTGAATTTACGCGTCAAATGATGGACACTGCCCCGGATGAAGCTGTTTCTCGAGTGAAGGTAAACTCAGAGCTGGTACGCCCGACCAGACCACATTTCCTGTATCTTAACCTCATAAATTCGATCCTTCAGTTATCAGAAACTTTCTCTGACTACATGTCGGACGCGACACTTGTCGATGAGCCGGAGATGGATTGCGACGCGGGCTCGTGTGCCAATTCCGACACGTCTGGGAGCGATTCCGACGCGTCAGATGCGTCCAAAACTTTTGATCCATCTACAGTGCCTATCCCATACCACATTCAACGCGTTTTTTGGAGCGACATCAACAATATTGGGCAGTGCCAGGCGATTACTGAGAATTATATTCAGTACATGGAGGTGAGTTACAATGCATGAAATTCAGTTCTATATTCTGAATCTTCGCTTCACCAGCTTCCCCAGAAATATGTGAAGCTCACTCGCTACTGGGGACACCGCGACGCCGTCCTCTCTTCCCAGCACAGCCCCACGATGATCACCGACATCAGTGGTCGCTATCCATATTACGATCGGAAAGAATGGACGTACTGGCCCAAACAGCAAGTCTGGTATGAGCTTACGGATTTGCATACTGCCGCGACGGAGACCTGTCGCGCGGGACACAAGCTGGCAAATATTTTAAAGGTAATTCATTCCTTCTCATCGTAATATGGGATTTTAACCCATCTTCCACAGTCCGATCGTCTCGCGGCCTGGGGTATGGAAGCCAAAGGAGTAAGTGTCCTTTGATTTTGCCTCACACCAAGGCCAAGGCTAACGGTCCCGTAGTATGCTCAAATCTTAGATGAAACACAGTAGACGCCCCTTTATTAGCTTATCGCGCAGTGTAATTGAAATTCGTTGCTCTTGCTACCTGCTCGCCCCCTCAAGCCATGTATGCCTGCTCCCTGGACTGCGATGACTCGTTCGACACGAGGCAGGGTCTTGCAAATCACCAGAGACGGTGCGACATCTACAATGCCGAAGGCTCGGACTACGAGTGGGAAGATGTCCCCGCAAAATTTGAGGAGGTGCGGGAGCGCAAACGGCAAAAGCTGCAGCCAGCGCCTCCGGATTTGCTTGCTGGATCATCAAGCGCTGTAGATCCGTTGCAGGACAGCGAGATGCCGGTGTGTACATTCTATCATCGCCTCGCAACGGACGACTTGAATGTCCTGTAGGATGCGACCTTCAGTACGGAGGACTTGCTACAGAGCCCGTCACCGCCGCGGGCCCCGACCCCGCAGCCTGAAATGACTGCGGCTGGTCGCCCTGTCCGCGCCAAACGTCTCACCTGGAAACTGCTGCAACTACTTCCTGACCCACCTGCGCCCACTCCCGAGCTTGAAATCACTCATGCGGAAGATGATGCGACACCACCACCCGCACCGATGGCCTTTGTTTGGGAATCGATTAAGAGCGCGATGAACAATTTTGGTCTGTATCGCGAATATCCCCGGGTCCCGACCCACGATCCCGACAGCACCCTCTCGTTAAACGACCTCTCGGACATTCCGAAGGCATCTTCTAGCTCAGCAGCGACGGCTCCCAGCTCTTTAGCCCCTCTACAGTCTGGCTCCTCCGACGTCCCTAAATCCAGCCCGTACTACCCTTTTCCAAATTTGACAGCCTGGGGAATCACGAATTGGATGTGGACCGGGTCGCCGATGAAATCAATTCAAGAGGTCAACAACCTCATCGACTTTTTGAAATCGGACAAATTCAGTCCGGCCGACCTCGAGTGCTTTAACCTCGTCAAAGAGACGGCGCGCCTGGACAAATCTTCTCGCACGGTCGGCGATGGGTGGGACGAGGTGTCCGTCGACATCCCAGTACGTGTTTAATTCTTGCGTGATAATTGCAACTAACACGAGCCCCAGGTTCCAGACGGCAAAAAACATGGTGGGCCTGGAATGGCGCCAATCCCTCTCCTCACGGTTCCTGGTTTGTTTATGCGCCCCCTCACTGAAGTGATCAGGAGCGCTATACGTGATCCGATGAGCCGTCAGTTCCATTTCACACCCTTCAAACAATTCCACAAGCCGCGCCTGGACGCAGAGGCAGCACGCGTTTACGATGAGATATATTCCTTGGACGCGATGATCGAAGCTTACGAAAAG